GGAATTGTGGGTTGTGTGTGCTTTTAAAGGCAGAAAAAGGAGCTACGTGATTGGTGGGAACATGGCAACGAGAAAAACACGAATAAATTAGTGGAATGAAAAGCGTTCGTTGATACCTGTGGGATTTAGACTGCCGGTTTGAAAGATGAGCTTTTGTTCAAGAGTTTTCCGGCTTTCCGTGCTACCTAAGTGTAAGGAAAGACCGCAGATTGCCATATGTTGCTTAGAATGATTAGGTAAATTAAAATGTCTAGCGACTGGTTTCGATGTGTCCTTGTCATTCCTCTCCACGTCGCGAAGGTGTTCTCGGAATCGGTCACCTAGTCTTCTGCCTGTTTCGCCGATGTAAATCTTTTTGCAAGAAGTGCAAGTTATGCAATAGATTACATTGGCGGAGGTGCATGTGAAGTGATCGGTGATCTTAATGGATCGTTTGGGTCGCGATATTTTCTCAGTGCTGTGAATGAAAGGAAACGTTTTGCATCGTGCACGAGCGCATTTAAAAGTGCCTGGTTGGTTATTAGTCTGAAAAGAGCTTCTGACCAAAAAATTGCCTATGTTTTTGTCGCGTAACTTTATATTCAAAAAACGACATTTTGCGTCTTCATCAGCTCAGCACCCATTGATCTTTGAGCGCCTTAAGAAAGCTACTGTGTTCTTATTTGTAGGCAAGAAGAAGCAGGAACACAATCCAAATGCTCCGCCATTGAACCGCCAGATTCCCTTCCCTGACATGTAGGTCATTCCGCCCATTAGACCAGAGTTTATCAAATACTTCGCTTTCGTCATTGCAAAAACAACAAATGGTCTGCCACCTTTTGTTTAGGCAAATTAGCCGTTGACCTTAGCCGGTTTCCCAAGAAGAAAACAATAAAGAAAAAATACAATGTATAAAGATATCTAGCTTCTTTTCTTTCGTCCTCTGTATAACATTTACTATCTGTCATCCTTTATCGAGGTGAAGGTCTTTTAACATTCCTGGTTGAAAATGTGTGCGAATGTCTATTAAGAGAGAGCTTCCATTGTACAACCTTTGTATTTGTTGCCTTCATTAAAGTGGCACCTCTTTTCATGAGACACTTTTCTTAGACCCATGGTTGCCCCCTGAATAAAGGTTTCTCTGAAGCTCAATTGGTAGAGCGCCGGACTGTTGTGCGTGAGGTCGAGGGTTTAAGCCCCGGCCGGAACAACACTCAAGGTCTTAAATAAATGAGGAGAATGTGCTGCCTTTCTATAATACCAAGAAATGGATAGATATTCTAGTCTTCTCGGATAAGGACGAATAAACCGTAGGCCCCGTCTCCTGCAGGGTTAGGAGTTGGAGACGTTAATTTCACACGCACGTGTTTTTACTGTGTGGTGGATGTCCTCCCCTGGGGTGGGGTGGGTGGGTATGAGGGCCGCAGGTTAGAAAACTGTAATAGGTTATTGCGCTTCCCTCTTTAAAAATAAAGTTAAGTTAATTTAAGTTTTTTGTTGAACCGAGAATCCCCCCACCTTGATGAGGCTTCCATTTAAAAAGATATAAGATCTTTTAAAGTTCCTTCTTTAAAACTCAAGTTTTGTTGGGAACGAGAACAAGTGTATTAGGGACGAGAATGTTTTTCATCATGTAAAATAATGTGTTGTGTTGTGTGATATTAGTTCTTTTTTTTTCTGATTTGTTTGTTTGATATTGTTGTTCTTTTATTTGCCTCAAATCCGCTTAAGGTACAGGAAGCTCCTAATTGCAAATAAAAGTAAATGAATAAAGGCTGATAGTTTCGAAAGAAACTGTTTGGGGCTGCGTCGGTGGGAGTAACGAAATAATATGGATATATCAACAAAGTTGAAATGATAAATTGGCCACCGTAACGATTACAAAAGCTGACATTTCGAGCGAGACTGGGTATTGCTGTCTTTGTTCTTATTCAGGATGATTTCATTTTTCTTACTTTGTAGCTACCGTGAGTTTTTATGTCATCCTACAGGGAGCGATCTATTCACTGGTGTTTTCACCGAATGGCCGTTACCTAGCTTTTCGGGTGAGATGTCCTTTGTTTACTGCCCTTTGGGACCAACACAGCGGTCAAACATCGGACATGCAAAAGGGGATCAATTCTCGCCGCCCGTTCGCTTATTTCACGCTCAAAATTTCGAAGGAAATCACAAGAAACAACTGTTTCTCGCAAATTAAGCGAAAAAAATTGAAACTTTCAAAGGAATCTGTAAAAGGAAAAACAAATTGGGAAAAAGAAACTTAAGACAGATATCCTGTTGAGCTACCATTTTTTTTTTCCTTTTATGAGCTCCTGGCTTTCCCTAAAATTTTATATGCTTTTAAAACACCGTTCCTAACAGGCTTGTGTTGTTGTTTGTAACTTGTGTTAGACAACTTGGTTCTGAATATAATACCCATCCCAAAAGTACAACCAGCTATGGATGAGGGCGACACCAGACCTATTTCGTTGACTCCCTGTTTGTCCAAAGTCCTTGAGGACTTCGTAGTTACATGGTTAATTGACGATGTCAAGGATAAATTCGACCCAAATCAGTTTGGGTGCCTGAAGGGAACCTCAACAACGTATTGTTTACTGGACATGATTCACACCTGGCTTACGTACCTCGACTCACCCGGGCGACACCTCCGCCTTTGCTTTCTAGACTTCTCTAAGGCTTTCGATCGTATCGGCAT